TTCCACTCCCTGTCGGCTGTTGGAGTCCGTCTCCATAAGGGGCATGACAGGGGAAAGCGAACGTACATTCCAACTCTTTATCTTTAAAAGATTGTAGCTAAACTACCAGAGCTTTTGCCTGTGAATATATTTCATTGGAGGACGTGATTGATGACACCCAGCCCGTGAAGGTGCTCAATTGGAGAATCTGATTTATGACACACCCAGGCGGGGCGGGGGGGGGAAACAGGGTCACAGAGGAGTGTAAATGACGTAGGGCAGAGTTGGCTTTGTTTAGGTCAATGCTGACATGTGGCTCCTTATAAATCATTTGAAGTTGGTGGAAGTTTGGCTCGAGAATCATCTAATTAGGGCGATCGCTGGAATCCTGACATCTACTTTTATACACAACAAGCCCTCGATTTACAACGGTTCATTTAGTGACCGAACTTCCACCGACAGCAAAAAGTGACTTACGACAGATTCTCGCACGTACGGCTATTGCAGTCTATCCCCATAGTCACGTGATGAAAATCCAGACGCTGCCCAACTGACTCGCGTTTATGACGGTCGCAAGTTGGCAATCTTCTGACCAGCCGCATCAATGGGGAAGCCAGATTCACTCAACGCCCCGTGTGACTCACTTAAACTTGCCGAAGCTGTTAAGTGAACAACTACAAGGATTCACTTAACTTTGGCAAGTGAGGTTGTAAAATGGAGGGGGGGGCGAAACTCACTTAACAAATGCCTCGCTTAGCGACAGAAATTTTGGGCACAATTGTGGTCGTAAGTTGAGGAGTCCCTGCATGATGTGGCCAGATGGCAGAGATCAAAAACCAAGTCAGATTGAGAGAATGTCTCTTCCCTTTGCAAAAATCAGAGACAAAGGATCGTAGTAAAAATACAATATGGGTAATCCTTGATTCATGACAACGGAGCCCAAAATTATTGTTGCTAAGTGAGACAGCAAGTAAATTTTTGCCTTTTTATCTTTCTTGCCCCGTTTATTAAGTGAATCGTTGCATTTCTGAAGTTAGCAGCACCTCCACGGTTGAAATTCAGACACTTGACAACTGACTCATATTTACGACGGCCACAGTGTCCCCGGGATCACGGGATTCACTAACAACCATATGAATAACAGCTGCAGTGACTCACTTTTACAACTGGGGCATGGGGCAAAACTCACTTAACACCTTTCTCACTTAGCGATAGAAATTTTGATCACAATTGTGGTCGTAAGTCGAGGATTCACTGCGTCTTGGCTTGGGCACAGTATTTTCTGCAGAGCCAGGAACCGTGTTTTACCCAACCAGGGTTAGTAGTAGCGCTTTTGTTGTATAAATCTGTCGACTTTCGAAGCGGGAAGAGTTTGCCTGGGAAAGCGAAACGCACAATTCAAATGCTGCTCTGTAGTGCCACCTCCTGGCACGCACACACACACAAACACACACACACACACACACACACACACACACATATATCCCCCTTTTCACATCTTGCAGGCTTCCATTTCTGTTGTTGCATGCTGCCCATTTAATTCAGTTAAAAGGTTTTGTAGTTGGGTTCAATTAAGTTTTTGGGTTAAATCAGTTTTAACCCTCCTGAGTTTAGAATAGAATTAGAATAGATAGGAAAGAATAGAATAGGGAAGAATAGACTAGGAAAGAATAGGAAAGAACAGAACAGAATAAGGAAAGAATAGAATGGCATGGAATAGAATAGAATCTTTATTTAGAATAGAATAAGGAATAGAATAGAATAGGAATAAGGATAGAATAGAATAGGATAGGATAGGATAGAATAGAATAGAGAGAAGAGATAGAATAGAGGAAAAGAAAATAAGAATAGAATAGAAAATAGAAATAGAATAGAATTCTTGATTGGCCAAACAAGGAATCTGTCTTGGTGCAAATGCTCTCAGTGTACATAAGAGAAAAGAGACATTCATCAAGAATCAAGACTCATCAGGTACAACACTAAATAATAGTCATAGGGTACAGGAATAGAATAGAATAGAATAGAAAATATGGAATGGAGTGGAATAGAATAGAATAGAATAGAATAGAATAGAATAGAATTCTTGATTGGCCAAGTGTGATTGGACACGCAAGGAATTTGTCTTGGTGCAAATGCTCTCGGTGGACATAAAAGGAAAGAGAGATTCGTCAAGAGTCAAGAATAATCAGGTAGAACACTTAATAATAGGTAAGGAAAAAAATCATTCACACCGACTTAACTAGCTGAATTCCAAGTTAGTGAAATTCTTCTTTTTTCTTTTTAAACAATTTTTAATCTTTTTAAACAACCCCAAATTCAAAAGTGACACAAAAACGGTGAATCCTGACTGCCAATATTCTTCTAAGTGTTGGGGGCACATTTTATTTTGCAAAAATAAAGATATAAACGTGACACAGATAGTCCTCAACGAATTTATTCAGCAACCTCTTGAAGTTACCAAAAAAAGGGGGCGGGGCTTAAAACCGGTCCTCAGACTTACGACTGGCTCTGCATCCTCACACCACCGCAATTCTGGTGGCACATATTTGTGACATCAATACAGGCCAGTTGCCAAGGGTCACAATTTGCATCGTGTGACGATGGGGATGCTACAACCGTCGTTAAGTGTGAAAAACCACCCTAAGTAGCTTTTTTCAGTGCCAATATAACTTTGGTCACTAAATGAACTGTTGTAACTTGAGGAATACCTGTGTATACAAGTAGAAATATCATCTGGAGCACAGAAACTGGCCAACAGATGTTTGTGGGCACCCTAGATGAGTTTGGCGGGTTTTAAATCCAGCCAGGAGATTGTGCCAAAATTCCCAAAGTTATCCCAAGATTTCCAAAGAAATTCCTTATTAGAGATGATAAAATGTTTAGATTTTGCAACCATGAAAAACAGACAAAAACTTTGCATTATACATACGGGTAGTATATTTAAAAAAAAACCCAGTAACAAACCTGGAATTATTTGAACACGTTGCTACAGCCTCTTCCCATTCAACCCAGCAGCTATGCTTACTCCCTGTTGTAATTCCTATCGCCGTCTGGTCCCACCAGGGAAGAGGATGAAGGCGAAGACTACAAGTCCCATCAAGCTGCACAGGGAAGTAGAGGCACAGCACAGGGTGTGGAGAAGAGAGTTCTACAGAAGTTTGAGGCTTCTTCCAGGCGATCTTCTACTTGGGTTGATCTCATGAAATGAAGACGTGAGAAGTTATGGTGAAGAATCCAACTAGAATGTCTTACGGACTTCTGCAAGAAGCTTCAAACCAGACATGGGTACACGTTAAGGTTAGATCTTGAGGTCCATCAGGAAGGGCCAGAGACGGACGACACAGTTTGAAGATCAAAAGTACGGTGGGCTACCAGGGACAATCCAGATCAAGGGTCTTCAAACTTGACAGCTTTAAGACTGGTGGACTTCAGCTCCCAGAATTCCTGAACTAACACGATTGGAGGAGGAATTCTGGGAGCTGAAGTCCACAAGTCTTCAAGCTGTCAAGTTTGAAGACCCTTGATCCAGCTGGTAGACATGGTATTCCTTCACCGTGGCCATTTTTCAGAAGGGTGGACTTCCAAGTCTTCCACTCAACGCAGCCTCCCTGCTTATTCCCTATTCTAATTCCCACCTCCACCTGGTCCCACCACGGAGAGGATGAAGGTGAACGCAACGAGCTCCATCGCTGGTTGGGGAATTGGAGTGTTGAAGTCCACCCATCTTAAAGTGGCCAGAGTTGAGGAACACTGATCTTAACATCTGGATAGTTCCTGGTGGGTCCATCACAACTCATGGTCTTCAAACTTTTGAGGCATCCTCAGCCATGGATCACTTGAGAAGACACCCAGATCAACCTCTCCATGGAGAACGTCCTTCGTCTCATCAGGAGCTTCTTAAAGAAATCTCCTTTTTTGAAATAAACCTTCCCACCCACCCCTTACTTCCTGCTCAGAATTGTGACAGGTGGGGAAGACGCCCAAAGCGATAGATCAGGTACAGTACCTAGAGCCCCTTACGTAAACGTACAGGGCAGTCCTTGAATTGTGACCATAATTGTGTCTGGAATTAGTCGTTAGTTGTTGCGTGGTTTGCTAGGCAGGTCAACATATGGCCGTCCTGATTTTATGACCGTTTTTGTTTGGCGATGGTTGGGAGGGAGGAAGGAGGGAGGGAAGAGAGATGAGAAGGGAGGAAAAGATGGAAGATGAGAAGGGAGGGAGGGAAGAAGGAAAGGAGGACACATGAGGAAGGGAAGGGAGGGAGGAGATGAAATGAGAGGGAAGGAGAGAGGGAGGGAAGGAAGAAGGAAAGGATGGATGGAAGGAAGGAAGGAAGGAAGGAAGGAAGGAGCAAGAGGCTGACTATACACTGCTTAGAGAGGGCCGTGAAGCACCGTGAAGCGGTATATAAGTCTAAGGGCTATTGCTAACTAGGAACAAGGGAGGGAGAGGAGAGGGAGGGAGGGAGGGAGGGAGGAAGGAAGGAAGGAAGGAAGGAAGGGAGGGAGGGAGGGAGGGAGGGAGGAAGGAGCAACAGGCTGACTCTATACGCCGCTTAGAGAGGACCGT